GACCTACAGTTGACAGCTGTTCGTGAACCCAGTTATCAGCTATAGGCCAGAGTCAGGCCTATAGCCGATAATATTATTTGTGAATTCTGTTTGCTCTTTTGAAGGCAATCAGGTCTACAGTTGACAGACTGTGAATCTGGCACTGCCAGAGTCAGACCTATAGTTACCACGCTTGGTATCCCTATTGAGAGATGAGTCCTGTCGCCCCCAGTCCCTCTGACCTTTGAGGATTGACTGGAACGCAAGGGGATTCATCTCTTACCAAATTTGCATCCCTGCAATCAAACCGCAACAGGGAGATGGGAAGTCACTGGAGGAATTTCCCTTTCTCACTGTCAAGCTGGCAAAGATCTGTGTAAAAAAAAAAAAGACAGAAATATATTTAATTATTTGACGATGTAAATCCTAATGTGCAAACTCCATTGAGTTTTTCAAGGTACTGCACTGCAACTGCCCTCATGCAAAACTTTACTCCAGTTAGAGCTGTCTTGCCTTCTCCTTGAAGTTTCTCATGTGTATTTTTGTGTAAGATCGAGAGTAGAAAGCATGCTTGTTCCTTAGCTGTTAAATTCTTATAATCATTTATCTGTGATTTTTAAAGAAAAGTAGAAGTCGATCACTGCTCAGAAATGTGAGCTGTTTTGCTGAGAACCAGAATTTCACAATAGACAGACTGCTAAACAGGTGTTCAAAATGGTCAGTTTTGATTTCCAAGTTGCTATTCTAATATCATTAGATTACTATCATGGCCCCTAATATATATATATATTAAATCTGTGTTCTCTCAGAAGTTTGCATCTACTCTCCTGGAGGCAAATGAGCCAGTTTTATGATCTATATTTGTTTATAGACTTGGCATCAATACTCCGAAGATAACTAAGATAACACTGATTTGTTGTGGGAAAATTTCATTTAAGCAGATGGCAGAGAAGTGACCTGTGAAATAGATATGATGTCTTTTTTTTTTTTTTTAGTATATATTAGCTCAGAAAATGTTGCTAGCTCAGCATTCGTTGGGAGAAAGCAATGAAAAAAATTACTGACAATATTTTCCTTTTGAATATAGAGCCAAACAAATAGATCTGTACAAAGATCTATTTCTTTCTTTACATAGAAAAGCTTTTGACAGCATAAGACTTCTAAGTCCCAAATGTTCCCTCTTCACATTGTATACAGAGCAGCTTGTATTCAGAGGGTTGTACTAAGAAACTGAGTTACTCTTTCTTGTTTGCTCTGAGCACAGAGGGATATATCTTACATTGTATGGCAGATCACATCGTTGAATCTCGTTGATGAACTTAGTGGAGCTTTTAAGGTGAGTAGTTGAAATTGCAAATCCTGCTTTGAGGTAGAGAGGAGAAAGCTTTGCTAGTTTTTGAGTAAGTTTGGTTTGAGAAGTGAGATGCTTTGTGATTGTATATAAGTGGCTGTGGAGTGTGCTAAATAAATGCAGATAAATGTTCGCTGTGTGTAGTGACCCTTGTCCATTCTAGAACTGAGCCTAGTAAGGGTTGAATCTTGTTCAGCTTTGTTACTCCTGTCATCCTCAAAGTAGCCCCATGCTTGATGTCATGTGTAACAAGTAATGGATCCTGCAAATAGCAAGTTTTCACCCCTCTTTCTTTCTTTAACGTTAGTTCTTCAATTAAAGGTACTTTAATAATTGGCACAACTGATGCCCCTGCCCAGTGGCATTGGATTTCATGGACCATTTCGTGGAGCAGACTGAGGGGAAGAGGTTCTTGCCCCGTACCAAAGCTCAGCATAGGCTAGACCTTGTGATGATTTTTTGTGCTAGGTTAATGCTAAGCTTGAACAATAGGTGAAACACAACTTTCTGCTGCTGAATTTCAAGTTTCTATCTATCTCTAGCTGATGGACAGTGTCAGAAAGCTCTTGAAATCTGTGTAGGTATTAGATTGGAAGCCCTTGTTTGTAAACTAGCGTGTTGAATATCAAGGCTAGTGTTACTATGATGATGTTTAGATCCTCAATTTGTAGATGAAGAGCTCTCTCCTCTAGCAGCTCTTGAAATTTGGTGCAGTCTGTGTGTTATTTTCATCCAGTTGTGATCACGTCTTGACACTGCAAAGCCAGAAGACTGGCTTGTTGCATCATTTATGTTTTATGGGGAAGGCTTTGCCTTGTGACTAGAAGCTGCATGCATACTCAGTGCAAAAAATGAGACTGATGGGAGGAGATTGGTTCAAATGGTGCCTATGCATTTGGAATCTCTAAGGTTGAGAGTAACAGGCATGCCAGCTTAAGTTCAAATTCCCAATGGAACATTTATGAATTTATCATTCAGAGTTTCATTTCACAGCAATACAATACAGGAATGTACAAGCATACGTATATTGTTATAGAATTCCTTATAAATAGTTGCTGATAACACAGGTTTTCTTAGGCAGTTTTTCAAATACTGTTTCATCAGAGCCAAAGCTTAATGGAGAGAAATTTAGGTTAGTATTGCATTTATATGCTAAACATCTACATGGGTCTTGCATCTTCATCTTCTTTATTGTAGCAAAACTCTTGAGGAGTTGACATCTTCCCTGTCCCATCTTTGACGGTCAATGACTTAATGAGCTTTCGTGCAGAACAGCACTTTGTTCCAATCTTAGTGTCACTTAGGTTTTGTGATAACCATTGGGACTCCCACAGAAAGAAAACAGAATGATTTGTACAGGAAAATCACAGGAAAATTTTAACTTCGGGTTGCTAACACTTAATGCTGATCAGCATTTTCCTTCTGGACAATTCTGTGTGTTCTGAGTTTCCAGTCTCTGAAGTAAAACCAAGCAAACTCAGAAGTGCAGAATTTAATAGGTTACTTCCAAACAGCATTAGTGTCTTCCCTCCTACACTCTTCCTGAGATTGTATTTTTACCCCTTTATGTTTTGTTCTTATCAAACTTCTTACTAATCAGCAGCAAGAATTCACCAAAGGATAGTGCTGCCCTGGACATCTTTTCAACATCTCTTCCCTACAGAGTTAGTGTGATCTGCATCCCAGTAAGAGAAGTTTGTAAAAAGTCCTGGTTCAGCACTGGTGCTGCTTTAGTTGTGGGCATATTCTGTAGCTTCTGTGCTTTAAGTGAGCTGGCTCTTCCAGTTAGTTCGGTCTTCTGTCCTGCTGTGTGAATAAGATGCAGGGTAGGAGCATGGGGAAAGATGATCACTTGAGTGATTCAGCAGTGGTGTGTGCATAAGAAGGAGGTTTGGCTCATCTGCATGCATTGTTGTTAGCTCCATAAACTGGGCTGTGAGGAAATGCTCATCCAGATTGATAAATTCATTGAAAATAGCAGACTTACAGCTTTAACATGCTCACCTCAGTTGCAAAATCTGGGAATGTTTTTCACTTTGTTCAGCAAAGTGTTATATGAGAACTGATGTTCTTCAAATGCCTTTCAAACACTCACATGACGCTGTTGCACAAGTTTGGGAAATCCTGCAACATTCTTATTTGCAATATGCTACATATTACCACAATCTATAGGCTGTTAAGTCCACCAGCCCTAGTTTCCCAATTCCAAGGCCTTTGTACCGAGAGCAGGCCCTGAAGTTATAAGTGAAGTACTTGTTTTCAGTCTCTTGTATCACGTCATATATGAGGAAGGTCCCTAAGCTGGTCTGTGCTGCTGATACATGGATAAATCCAAGCTGCACAGTCACCACTGCTATGCCTATGATCTCTCCTGCCCGTGCTCTAATGTTGATCCCAAATGTCGCCACTGCCAGTCCTTCACTCCGTCATGTGTGTCCACTCCCAGGAACCAAAAACTGTTTGAACTGTTGCTACTTCTCTGGTCCTTGCCCTGGAGTAACATTCACCGCCTTTGCTGGTGAGGGGTATGACATGACTGTGTAAGTGAAAGCAGTTCTTTCTTCTATTCCAGCTGGGACTGCTAATAGTTGCCTGCCTTTTCACAGGAGGCAGCCTGTGTTTGAGCTGTGTATATTCATATGCAGTCATACATGTGACTGGTGTGGGTCTGTGAGTGCAGAATGCAGATGTTCTTCTGTATGTTATGTATTTTAACAGTGTGCAACTCTTAAGTACCTTGAAGTTAGAGCAGATACTTTGTGCCCTCAACTCTTGCAGTGAGGGGGACAGGCAAATGGATGGATAGTACTTTCTCCTCCAGAAAATTGGCATTGGGTTTTCAAAAGGAATGGAGATAGTCCTCCGTGTTCAAACAGGAGCATGATTATCTGATTGCCACCGTATGTTTGATAGGAAAGGAATAGAATCAACTTATCTGTAATACTTACCTGGACCTGGGATTGGAATTTTCTCTCTCCTGGTTCAGGTGTTTGCCTAAAAAAAGGCAACAATAGTAGTTGAATCAAGCAGTGCCATGGTACCTTTAAAGTTAGGCAGAAGGAAGGGAAGTAACTGAAAAAAGATTAAAACAACAACAACAACAACAACAAAACCACTTCTGCTGCCTCTAGCTTTGAAGGATACTGAGAAAATACATTTTCAAAGTGAATAGAAGCTGCGCTAAAGAAATTGCTACATATTTTCATTCAATCTCAAATGGTGTTGCGAAATGTTGGGTGTAGCTTTGATCCCTTTCCTAAGCACTCAGACCAGTCATCTATGCATGGGTGGTGAGTCGAGGTGTTCTAGTTTCAGCCTGAACCAAGTAACTTAGATGTGGGTGCTGGAGGTGGTTGTCACTTACTTTTCTTATTGATATTAAGATTCTGTACCCATCATAAGATGTTAAAGAGTGAGGTTTTTTTTTTTTTTTTCCTTTACTATTAATACCCGTGTTTTATATTGTTCATTTCCTGGACTTCCCCATTTGCTCTTTTTCTCCAGTCATGGTAGGCTCTGTAAGCTACAAGTCATGTGATTTGACGACGCATGTATATGTGTGTGTGTGTGTGTGTGAGTGTATAAGTAGGAGATGCCTGGTGACTGCTCAGACTACACTGAACTTCTCTCCTCAGAACTGCCTGCTGTTTTGGAGAGGTCGGCTGCCACCATGATGGCTGGCGGCTTGTCTGACACCAGGCCTGCTACCAAAGAAGTCCAACATATGGTTGACCAGGTGAGTTGCAACTTATATGATGATGAAGAACTGTCTCAGTGTGCAGGTGTTCAGATCTTGAAACTTGTGCAAAGGTTGGGAGAGCAGTTAGTGATGCTGAACCAGTAAACTGAAGAAGTTAGTGCTGAAAATGGGAGTCCCCCTGACTGTCAGTATAACATCAGCATTCAGGGTAGGAATTGCACCAGGAATGCAGAGATAAGCCATTTTTCTGTGTTGTCCTTGTCCATAACTAGGCATTGTCCTGGTTACCTTCAGTACATTTGCGTATAGTTACTTGCTAGAAGTTAAGGGCATTTGCTTAACTTGCTAGAAGTAAGTGCATTTGAAGGGAGGGAGTTATACGTTATAGAACTATTTCTTCACTGAAGGGCCTTGTTAGGACCAACTACGTGGACGGATGCACTAAAAACCAAGATGCTTGCAAGGCACGGCTGTGGAAAACTGGCTTGTTCTCTGCCAGTGTCTGGTATTTTAGGGCATTGCAGCTGTTGATGCAGGGGCTGTTGGTGCAGGAGGGAAAAATGAGCTGAGCACCAGCAGGTAGGATGAGTGCAGCTGCCTTTGTGGTCAGTGGGGCTGTTCTGGAAGCAGGCTTGTGGCCACACGAGCATATCCGATAACATCTGGTAATGCTGCCCTTATTAAATAGTACAAAATGCATCTTGAGGAGTGGAAGGGACGCAGCGTGACATGAGAAATGTCCTTTTGTTTCCCGAGAGAGAGAGAGAGAGAGGAAAATGAAAACCAATTACTCTTTGCTCTTTATTTGAAGAAGTCTGTGATCCTTCCCTCCTCCCTCTTTGCAGGTCCTTTCCTTTTGACAGTTCAGTCTCCACAGAGACTTTGCTCATGCAGCTCTCAGGAAAAAAAACATCCTTGTGGAGAAGAACTTTATAGTGGGGCAATCCCCCTAGGCTGCCAGCTAGAGAAGTAGTTCATGTGAGGAGATGCAGCACTCTGGGATTTTATGCTCTGCTAAGAGCAATGCAGGTGACTTGAGCAAAGTTGTGTAGAGCTGTTGCAGACCCTGGGATGCCCAAGTCTATCTGCTCTTGGGTTTATGGAATAATTTACTTGTACCTTTGCTTCGTCTCTAGTCTAATCCTCCTTGAAAAGGGCAATGTGTTATTTATTCAGTCCACTTGTGTTACAGCACTTCCCTATAAGCTTAGGAATCTTTGGGGTGTAAGGAGCTATTTAATACCAGCTGAGGAATGTTATATTTTGTATGTGATAAAGAAGCTCTCTGCATGCCTATTTTTACTAAAGGCCTGGTTAATAAATTAAAGGTGTCAGAGGCCAGGAGAGATTATCAGTGAGGAGAGGGTTAGAACTAACTTTGTTCTGTTCTGAGAGCAGGGTAATAAGTGAGTTTCCAAAGATGCCCCAACTAACTTGCAAAAAGTTCATTTACATCTCTGGAAACCTGCAGACCTCCCAGCTGGAAGAGGGTTAAGAACTGGAATTTTTGCTAGAGCAGGCAGCTATAGGTTGAATGTATAGCTGAGCTGAAATTAAAACAGACCATTCCTGGGATAGAAGGCCTGTGGAGCTTGTTTCAGTAATGTAGAGAAAGAGCAACGAGCTCTCAGCAGTTGCTTTAGTGAATGGAGTGAGAAATTATGTCTCAAGATGGTGAGTTGAAGGTATTGGAAAACTGGAAAATTATAGAACCATCTGCAGAAATGGTTGATATGAGTGTTGCTTCCCAGAGCCCAGCTGGTGTGAAGAAACATCAGGGGAGTGGTGCCAAGTGGGAGAAAAAAGTTCTGGGAAGATCAATTGCTTCCGTGTTCTCCTGTGAAACTTCCCTGTGATGGGAAGTGCTGATGCACTGCTGAAGCCTTCCCAAGGACTACCTAAGCAGGAATAGTAATGCTGTCATCTGCCCAATTTCTGGTATGCATCTGATGTGCATCAGGTCATTAGTGCATGCGTCACGTAGAGGAGGGGCCAGTGTGCAGCTTGCAGGAGTCTGTTGATGCTTTCTGGATGCTAAGGAGAAGGTTTCCGCTTACATTAGTTGTCATCACATTTGTACTATGAATTGGTGTTATCAGATGCAAGTTTCTATAGTGCAACATTCCTTGGAGCATAAATCCTGCTGCTTTAGACACCTGGTTAAACTTCCACATGCGCTCACATCTGTCCCCCTCACCAATGCCATCGCAGTCTAGTATTTGTGGAAATACTGATCTCCAAGAAGCTAGGGCCCCTGTAATTGGCAATGACCACAGACTTCCCTTTCACCTGTGTAACTCAATGTTCGGAAAATGCACCTTTGTAATAGGTGCATCGAGTCTGTGAATGTCTAAATAGACTATTTTAAGATTTATAGGGCTGAAGCTGCCTCTCATGCATAAATGTATCCCCAGAGTTGTTAGTGGAAGTACTCTCAGCACAGAATACTGTTTCTTCTCAAACTACATTAGCTGCAGCTGCTATATAGTGAAGTGATGATGTTTATGCAGTTCTGGGGTTGACTTTGACTCACGCTTTAAATGTCTTTTATCTACCTTAGGCAATAGAAGAACCTAATCCTGGATCACTGTAATTGTTAGATTTTTTATGTTCCAGTTGTTTAATGGCATGTTTAGCTTAAATTACAGTTTTGGCTGCAAGGCTTGAACCAGGACTAGAAAATCTTTCAGGAATAGTCCAATCACTAGGTTGCCTCGGTACCCTTAAACAAACCCCGTTTAATTTTTTTTTTCATATGGACCTCTCAATAGGCAAGTTGAGCATAGCTCTGAGGCTGTGACACCTGGCAGGGGCCTGTAGCCTCCTGGACCAACCGGCCTGGGTTGGGGTGTCCCAGGCTCTGGATGTCTTCCACTCCTGCATAATGGTTTGCTTGGTGCAGGGCATGCCCTACAGGCAGTAGGGCTTTGGTGCCTGGTGCCTTGGTCAACAAAGGAAAAGGGCACTAGGCCTGGGGGTTCCTATACTGAGCAGGAGAGAGATTTTTCCTCAAAGCTGTCCAGCTAAACTGTTTGGAATCCTCTTTCTGACAGGATTTGAAAGGAGGCTGGAGGCAATGCTGGAATTGGGCTGCAGGTTTTGGTGTAAATTGAATTGTTTTGGTTCTGCTGGCTTTATTTATTAAGGGTGTGTATATTTTACAAAGCCGATGATTAAGAGTGGTGGGTGTGAAAGGGAAGCCTTCATGCCAACTTGCTAACCCTTTTTCCCCTTTCCTTTCACAGGTGAAACCACAATTTGAAAGCAGGGTAAATGAAAAATGTGGCCTCTTTGTAGCCATTGAATATCGGACTCAGGTGGTTGCTGGAATAAATTACTTCATTAAGGTCTGTACATACTCTAAGAGGGAGTAATTTCTTATTTAACAATGTGTGTGAACGGGCTTATACCAAGAAAAATAAGTGCTTACAGTAGAAAACCCTCTGATGTGACTAGAGCTAGGAACTAGGTCCAGGTGGCTCTAAAACTCCTCTCTGAGTCTACTACACAGAAGGCAAAATTGCTAAGATTTCTGAGATGTGAACAATAACTGTTTTAGGAAAGATGAGCCTGAAAGACGACTGACCGTCTTATTGCCTTGAATTATCTGAACCAGCCTTAACTGCTCTCCACTGGAAGACAAAGAAACAGTGGAAGAGCTGTCCCTTTGCTGTGAACAGAAGCACTGTGTTTATTATGATTAATCTGAGGTCAGCCTAACAGAGAGCTGGAGTGAATCTTTTAAATCTCGTTTATGTATGGCACACAGTGCTACTACACTACACAGTTTGATGTACAAGCCTCTGCTTGACCCCTTCCTTCTGTACCATCTGCTGCAGGGGTGCAGTTTGCCTGCTGTTTCTTTCTGTATTTCCAAAGCTCCTCTTCCACTGTGTGCTGAAAGGCTGAATGCTTCATCTGGGGTCCCCTGATGGCACTGTGTGTCCTCCCCCCAAAAACTTACCCATGGACTTGAACAGTTTTCTGAGAGAAGCAACGTGGCAGAGATTGCTGAGCACATTTTAAAACCCCCATGTAACCAGTTGCTTGCTGGCAGGCTGCCTTTCCTGTAGTAAACGTTGCATGCAGCTGCTCACAGCCCTGGAGGCTTTCACAGGCCTGGTACGGTGTGTTCCCCTGACCAGCAGCTGCATCTTGCTGTTGCAGAAATGGGCAGGTAGTGCTTGGTGAGCACTGATGCTGCAGGGAGCCACGATGAGCAGTTGTTCTGCACTGCCCAGGCTTCCCTGATCATGGACAGATAAATGTGGCTGCACCTTCCATCCTCGGCCCATCTCTCAAATAAGTTTCAACGGTTATTTCTGCCTTCTGTGGGTGTCAGGGAGTATTGCTGATAGGCTACCTACTTCATGGCCTGATGGACACAAGTGACGGCTTGTTTATCCTTGAGGATCATCTCCTTGCACCTGGGAGGTGTGTCTTCCTGTCAGCTACTGAGTTATCTTGTTGCTGACCCAGGCAATTACATGCACAAAATACTAGTTCTGCTGTTCATGATAAGCTGAGCTACTCAGCAATTATGAGTGATATGCTAATGAACTAATCAGAAGTGATGATTGGCATGACACCTACTTTAGAAGAACACTTTTAACCCTGGTAACTGATCATTCCTCTCCCCTTTCTGGTCTTCCCAAGTCTTTCCCAGCAAGCAAGTCCAGCTTTGCTTTACTAGTATCATAGTTCCCCACATATGCTCACCCCTTCAGCTTGCTGCATTCTTGGCATAAACTTGGAATGAGCTCTGACTGTCACAGCTACAGCCATCACCAAGCGTGGTTTCTAAACTTTCTTTTAATCCTTCATACTACTTCCCTAACCCAATGAAAGTTTTATGCCTGTTAGCTTGGCTCTGTATGTAGGAAATCAAGGTTGGCTGCAGTTTTGAACTGTGTGTAAAACTTTTTCTGGAGGGGAAGGTGAGTTTGTCTCAAAAGGACTTCATGGCTCTTGCTTGCACCCCTCCACAGGTACCAAGAAACCTATTAAGTTGTCTGTCCAGTCAGCAACATGTTTGCAGCAATATTGAAGAAGGATATCAATACTGATGCTGACATCAATTTGTCATTGCTTCTCTGGGTTTTTTCTTGGGACTACTTGCTGCTTTGGGATATGTCTTCTGTACCCTCTAGGAGTTGACACTGTCCCTGTATCTCGTCCCACTTCTGAGTGGTCGGGATTTACTCATTGTCTCCTGCTGTAAGTATCTGGAGAAGCTGCATGTTGTTGCTGGGATCTTGATGACCTTAGGCAGGATGCCATAAACACACCCGTCTTCTGCTCTGACCTTCACATTCAGGCAGTTGTATGCATTTCCCTTTCATGTCAGTCTCTTCAGTCAGCTTTCTCTTCAGGATCCTTGCAGGCATAGGCTGTTCCTGCCACCAGGAGTAGCTGGGTCTAAAGAGACCTGAGTTAAGAGATACTGATGTAAAAATGGAGACATGACTATATCTAAGTGCCTGAGATATGATATTTTCCCAAGTACAAGTACAGAGCATGCTGTTGTTTGAACTTGCTTCATCTATGATCCTTACCTTCCTCATTGGTTTTTTTTGTTTGTTTGTTTGTTTGTGGTTTTTTTTTTTTTTTTTAGATCCAGGTCTCTGATTCCATGTATGCCCACCTGAGGGTGTTTCAGAGCCTTCCTTCTGAGAACCAAGGCCCCAGCCTTGTCAGTTACCAGACCGGCAAAACCAGGGATGATCCTCTGACCTACTTCTAAGGACCAGTGGGGCATAGTTCCTCACTTGTGCAAGTCACATGTGGATTTGGCCTCTGTCAGCAAACATATGCAAATAAAGAATTTTGGAGGCTTTTTGTTTCTGTATTGCATGTCACAGGCTCTCTGGCTAAAGGGTGAATGGGGTCTGAGGTGCCTTGTGCTGAGGTACAAGACTCAAAGCTGCTTCTACCACCTGGGACACTCCAGCTGGAAGGAGAGTCTACCCATTTCAGTCTCTCTTTCCAAAATGTTGGAATTTATGCTTTGAAGACAAAGCTTGGGCCTGCTGTGAGAGTGCCTTAGGCCTACACCAGGCTGCATACCTTAAGCACAGAACTGAGGCCTCCTCTTGGCCTTGTTATAAGCGCATTCAGTGCAAGCTGCTGGCTACTCTTCAGCATGTACGTGAGATCCATTATTGCTACAGAGGGGAGTTAAGAAGTCCAACCCTGGGTCGCCTCTACGTATGCTTTCACTGGTGTGGCTACTTGAGGTGGCAGCAGCAGAAGGGTCTCCAGCCTCAAAGGGAGGAGCTGCATCTCATCCTACACTGAGCCCCTGGAGCAGGAAGCACCCATCCTTGCTATAATGTGTGTTTTATGGGAGACTTGCAGAGCTTGTGCATTTTTGTAGCATCAGCAGTCTTACCAGAGCTGCTGCTTGGGACCTCTGAGTTACCTTACCTGCAGTACAATCCAAACCAAGGAAGTAGATCTCAGGTTCAAGAGAATAAATGCTGGAAGGGTTTCAGACCAGGCCTTGCTTCAAATAGCTTCAATAGTTTTTTGCTGCTCTGCTGAATTGTAGGAATTGCTTTGTCACTGGCATATGGTGCCTGGGATGCTGCTGCTCCTCCTGCCCACTCCCATTCCTCCCTGTTTCTCTGCATAAAGTCTTTAGGGAGTGGAGACAGCCTGTGGCCTCCTGCGCCAGTGGGAGCAGTCCACCCCTTGGGGGGGGGGGGTCTAATGGTGTCCCCAAGAGCTGAAGCCTGCTGTCTAATGTTAAATGTCTTTGAGGGACAGTAGCTCTGGCAACATAGGCATTACCTTAAAACCATGCTCACCCAACAGCATTTGAAGTCAGTGTGCAGCTTTGGACCTTTGGAATGACTTCAGTGCAGGGTGGCATCAAGAAACACTCCCCATCCTTGCAAAACACTTCCCAACATTGCAAAAAAGAAAAAAAAAAAAAAGAAAAAAAAATTTGAGCTAAAGAAGCTGTACTTAATAAGCCAGATATCAGTCTTTCTTTTCTTACATACGTGGGGAAGGGTGATTTGTGCTGGTACGTGCGAAAGCACAGAGGCAGTGCAAGTAGTTTGAGCTCCCCTTAATCATCAGTTTGTAGGCAGAACACGCTTCTCCTATGCAATGCTGGTTACGTAGCTCCAGGGAGTAAATCCAGCCGCTCACCCCTCTCCCTCATCCTTCCCCGCCAATAACTCACAAATTCACCCACTCTCTTACCAGAGACGTTGGCAAGGTGTTTTTTTGTTTGTTTTTCTGTTTTTTTGTTTGTTTGTTTGTTTTTCAGCCTTAGACCAAGACAGGGCAGCAGTTGCCTATAGCTGCAGGCTGCAGCCCCTTTATCCTTCCCCTGCCCAACAGTGCCAGGCAGGGCAAACATCGTGCTAAGGTCCCTGCTCAGTCACTTTTGACTGTCGCCATGGATGGCGCCTCCACATCATCTCTGCACAACCTATATCAATGCTTGTTCTTATCAGCAGTGTAGTCTTTTAATGCACTACTGTGTAAGTGCATTTATGGCAGTTCAGTTTGTGTCTAACTTGGCCTTGTCTTTCACTGAGCACCACTGAGAAGATTCTGGCTCCTTCTTCACCTCTCCAAAATGGCCATCCCAACCCTGCCTTCTCAAGGCTGAACAGTCACTGAGCTTTCAGCCTCTTGCGTCAGATGTACCAATCCCTTCATCACTCTCCTGGCCCTTAGCTCCCATGTCCCCAGTGCTCCCATGCTGGCCCGCTCAGGCCTGAACCCAGCCCTCCTGCTGCGGCCTCCTCAGGGCTGAGCAGAGGGGAAGGCTCGCTGCCCTCGGCCTGCAGGCGACACACAGCCCCAGGCAGCTTGGATACCACTGCCACAGCGGGGCACTGTCAGCCCCTGTGCAAATAGCTGCCCCCGTGCAAATAGCTGCCCCCACCCAGCAGGAAAAGATCCTCTTCTGGAGGCCTAGGCATGCCCAGATTGTTTGAATGTTCCCTAATCTGGTCCTACCCTGCCATGTCTTCTTTCTTCCAGCCCTCCTCTGGCATTTGGAGAACTTAGATCGCTGAAGACAGGTCTTACCAGTAAGTGGGAGGGCAAAAGAGGCATCGAATACCTTGGCCATTTCCATAGCCTTTTGTCACCATGCCCCCCTGCCCCACTTAACACAGGGGCCCACATTTTCCCTAATCTTCCCTTCACAGCTGATACATCTGTAGAAGCCTGTCTTGTTGCCCCTCATGTAAACATAAAATATAATCATAAAGAGAAATATAAAAGGTATTTGGAATATTGAAAGGGCTCACAGAAGAATTCAGAGCAAGACAATAACCAGTCCTGAAAAGCAGCAAATGAAATAGTCAAAATAAAAGAGTCAATATGCAGTGTAACCACAACAGAAGTCTTTACTGTCATTTATGCAGATACAATGCCTAGTTTAAATTTATTTCTAGGAATTTTCCTTAGAAATCAGAAAATAATTTTTGTTTCACACCTCATACACCCTCTGCTGGACATTATATCCTACTTCTGCCACAAGATAAACCTCACAGCCAAGGGAATGTTTGTTTCAAGACTACAACCCTTCTCTTTTTCATGCTTTTAAAATTTGAGCAGATCTGTCTTTAGGTCCTTGCCAATAAAACACATGGTACCATTTAAATCTTCGTATATATGCACTATTACAAAACAGCAAGAGAGGCTTCAAGTTCTCCTCTTGCTCCTTGCTGTAGATATGTGAAGGCTAATGAGACGCCTTGACAATTTAGAGACCAAGAGACTTAACTCAGGCCCTGGATTCTAGTCAAGCTGCACTGCAGTCAGTGCAGCCTCTTCAGGTTTGCATTAGTGTAGCTGGAAGAAGTGTCATGTTTCTCTTTTAGAGGCTGCACACTGGGGAAGAGGCATACAAGAAATATATTTTTTTTTCCGGCATTAAGTTTACAGAGACATATTGCTGTCATTTGCACAACAGTCAACATTTTGAAGCCTATAGAAAATGCACGTAAATGGCCATTAGAAAAATGCACAAGCTAAGCTTGCTAGAAATACGTTAGTTCATCATGCTTAGTCTTGCTCTTCTGGTAACCGTGAAGGCTCAGTGGCCTATTCTCGTGAGGGAGGCTTCTGAACACCCGCAGATGCACAAACTCATCATTGCCAACATGGACCTGAAAGGTAAGGAAAACAGTGAGCTCTGTGCGATCCCAGCAGCTTTCAGTAGGAGGTATGGCTTGGACTGGGAAATGAGAAGGCAGTGAGAACAACCATCACCTCAGAAGACGTGATCTTGTGTTGAAGCTGATTACAAGTCATGCATTTGTGGAAATATCTCCTAAACCTTCTATTCCTGTTAATCCCCGCTATGCCCAAGATGATACCAAATATGCAGCTAGGGAATTAGAGTTGCCGAGAGGTGGCTAACAGATTCAACACCTACGAAAAGTCTAAATTTGTCTGGCACAATATGCACTCACATGCTTTGCTCCCACTTGCTTGTGCTTTTGTGTGGCAAGACTACAAGCACAGTCAGAGGGGGTTGGATGCATCACTGTCTTTACATACCTGGATTTCATTTTTAATGCAATGTTAGTGCTGAACATCATGGAGTGATGTTCAAACCATTCTTATGTAGTAGTTAGAGAAAAAAAAATCCTAACTTTATCCATGTAAAAAAATGGGATCCTATTCCCCGCCATCTTGTACCTTGATGAAGAAATTTGTTCCAGCAACCACCTGGGATTTATACTCTACTGCAGTGAAGACATCAAAGGTTTTCCCTTCTTTTTCTTCTAGCTGAGGCTTCACCTTAAGAAAACAAGAAGTTATTTAAGACTACAGCAAGATTCAAGTACTTAGGGCTTAAGAGGCTCAACACCAGTGCCCAAGTGCCGTGCAGGGCACTGCTGCTGACTTTCCTGCTTTTGAGAGTTACTAAAACATCAAAACGGACCACGTGAAGACTTGTATTAAAGCAAGGCCAAAAGTCTGTACAGGCAGCAAGTCAAGGCTGCAGTGTTATTCAATCACCACACACTGAAACTGTCTAGCAGCTTCCAGCAGAAGAAGTATTTAGACAAATGATTTCCTTTCTCCGTGTCTCAGCTTCCCTTTTTGTCCCGTATATTTATCAACATACATAAAGAAGTGGTTGGATGCCTATGCATGCGAGACTTCATTTTTTTTTAAAGAGATGTTTAGAATGTATACACAATACTCATCCTGACAAAAATGGCTTTCTTCTGCACAGCCTTACTTTTCCAATTCAGAACACGCTCATACCGAGCAGCAAAATGCACAAGCTTGAGCTTTAATAACATGGATTTGACAGTTCTCCCAGCCTGTGATACTCTATCTAGTCTGCAGTGTTTTCAAACTGCAAATACTTTCCAAATAATAACTGGGACATAATGACTTCTGAGTTATCATTTCCAGTTTCCAGAGGGTAGCATCAGTGCTCACAAGTCAAAAGAAGTACCCAAAACCCCAGACAGAGACACAAACTCATACGAGCTACAGCTTTTGTTTCCTGTACTTGGCTCTCTAGAACAACCCAGCTCTGCTACAAAATTCATGGCCAGGAAAGCAGAAGGTTTCAGGCTTTACTTGCAAGGGTAGTAAGAATTTGCGCTGGAGTCCTTGCTGCAAGCTCAGCACTCCCCAGCAGTGCTGCCCTCCTGCACTTTGACATTATTCAGGGAGACCTAGACAGGTTGGAGAGTTGGGCAGAGAGCTCATGAAGTTCAACAAGGACGAGTGCAGGGTCCTGCACCTGGGCAGGAACAACCCCAGGTGCCAGTACAGATTAGGGGTTAAGCTTCTGTAAAACAGCTGCATGGAGAGGGATTTGGGAGTCATAGAATCATAGAATCATAGAATGCTTAAGGTTGGAAGGGACCTCTAGAGATCATCTAGTCCAACCCCTCTGCACACGCAGGGTCACCTAGAGCACGTGGCACAGGACTGCGTCCAAGCGAGTTTTGAAGATCTCCAGAGAAGGAGACTCCGCACCCTCTCTGGGTAGCCTGTTCCAGTGCTCTGTCACCCTCACTGTTAAAAAATTTTTCCTTAAGTTCCTGTGGAACTTTTGGTGCTTCAGTTTGTGGCCTTTACCTCTAGTTCTGTCAGTGGCCACCAGTGAAAAGAGACCAGCACCATCCTCTTCACGGCCTCCCTTGAGGTACATAA